TTGTCATGATTTTTTCCAAATTTGTGGGTTGCCTTTTCACTTTGTTGGTAATTTCTTTTGACGTGAAAAAACTTCTCAGTAAGAGCAGGTCCCAGTGGTTAATTCTTTCAACTGTTTCACATGTGATTTAACTTCTGTTCATTAAATCTTTGCCTACCCTATGTCTTCAACAGTTCCTCCTACTTTCTCTTCCAGGAGATTTAGTATCTCTGCTTTAATGTTTAGCTTTTTAATCTATTTTGACTTTACTTTAGTGCATGGTGATAGACCTGTGACAAGTTTGAGTTTTTGGCCTGTAGAGAGTCAGTTTTTCAGCACCATTTGTGAAAGAGGCTATCTTTCTTCCAGTGAGTATGTTTGGTCCCTTTGTCAAAGATAATGTGGCTGAGTGTGTTTGTAAGGGTTTCAGCATCTTATAATCTATTCCATTGATCCTCAGGTCTATTTTGTTGCGAGTACCATGCTGATTTTACCACAGTATCCTTGTAGTATAATTTCAAGTCAGGAATTGTAATACCTCCTGCCTTGGCTTTATTGCCCAAAATTGCATTTGCTATTCTAGGTCTTTTCTGGTTCCAGTTAATTTAAAAATGATTTCTCTAGATCTGTGAGGTATGTCGGTGGTAGTCTGATAGGGATTGCATTAAATCTGAACGGGAATTTTGGCAGTATTTTCATCTTCACAATGTTGGTTCTTCCTATCCTGGAGCATGGAATATCTTTCCATTTTCTGCAATGCTCTGCGATCCCTTTTTTTCAGAGTACTCTAATTTTCATTGAAAAGACCTTTGACTTCTTTAGTTAAATTTTTTCCAAGTTATTTCATTTTCCTTGTTGATTTTGTAAAAGGTTTTGTTTCTATAATTTTCCTCTCAGTGTGTCTGTTGTCTGTGTAGAGGAATGCTATTGACTTTTGGGTACTGACTTTATAACCTGCTATGCTACGGAATTTCTGTATTAATTCTAGTAGCTCTTTGGTGGAGTTTTTTTAGGTCTTCCAAGTAAAGTATCATGTCATCAGCAAATAAATATAATGTAACTTCTTTTTTGCCTATTCTTATTCTTTTTATTTCTTTTTCTTGTCTAATGCCTGTAGCTAATGTTTCCAACACTATATTGAACAGGAGTGGTGATAGAGGATATCCTTGTTGTGTACCATATCTAAGAGTAAAAGATTTCAGGTTTTCCCTATTTAGGATTATGTTAGCTGCTGGATTTTCATAAATGGCTTTTACCAGATTGAAGTGAAGGTGATCTCTTCCGATTTTCTCTAGGACTTTGAATATGAATGAGTGTTTTACTTCGTCAAAATCCTTTTCCTCATCAATTGAGATGATCTTGTGGTTTTTGTTTTTTACTCTATTGATATAGTTTATTATATTTATGGATTTTTGAATATTGAAACATCCTTATATCCCTCGAAATTATCCTACATGGTCATGGTGTATGATCTTCTTGATAATTTACTGTATTCTATTTGCTAGGATTTTATTGAAGAATTTGACATCTATATTCATGAGGGAAATTGGCCTGTAGTTCTCTTTCTTAGTTGTGTTTTGTCCTGGTTTTGGTATCAGTATAATACTTGCCTCCAGGAAAGACTTTGAGATGATTTGTTCCTTTTCAATTTCATGGAAGAGTTTGAGGAGTATATGGACTAGATCTTCTGTAAACGTCTTGTAGATTTCAGCTGTGAATCCATCCAAACCTGGACTTTTCTTTGCCTGTAGGTTTTTAATTACATCTCGTATTTCCTTGGCTGTTATTGGGCTATTGAGAGTGGTTATATCTTGTAGATTCAGTTGTGGTGATTGGTAAATTTCTAGGAGTCTGTCCATTTCTTTTGTGTCTTCTATTCTGTGAGAGTAAGGATTCTCAAAGTTGCTATTGATAATCTTCTGAATTTCCACTGAGTCTGTGGTAATTACAACCTTTTCATTCCTTAATGCTTTTATTTGAATTTTTTCTTTCCTCTTTTTATGAAGTTAGCTAGTGGCTTATCGATTTTATTTAATCTTTCAAAGAACCACCTTTTTGCTTTTTTAATTCATTGAATTGTTTTCTTCGTCTCAATTGAATTAATTTCTGCTTTAATTTTTATGATTTCCTCCCGTCTTTGGGCTCTGGGTTTGGTTTGTTTTTCCTTTTCTAGTTGTTGAAGGTGCACCATTAGGGTTTTTATTTGTTCCCGTTCTGTTTTCCTAATGTGCGAGTTCACAGCTATGAATTTCCCTCTGAGAACTGCTTTCATCATATGCCATAAATTACGATAAGTTATGCTTGAATTTTCATTGAATTGTAGATATGGTTGAATTTCTTGTTTAGTTTCATCTGTGATCCATTGGTTGCTGAGTAGGATGTCATTTAATTTCCATGTAGTTAAGGTTTTTTTTTGGTCATTTATTTCCAGTTTCATTGCACTGTGGTCAGATAATGTGCATGGGATAATTTCTGTTTTCTTACATATACTTAATCTTGACCTATGGACCAGTATGTGGTCTATTTTAGAAAATGACCCATGTGCAGCTGAGAAAATGTGTATTCAGTTGTGTTTGGGTGGAACATTCTGTATATGTCTACCAAGTCCATTTGTTTCAAGCTCTGGTTCATTTCTGTTATTTCTTTGCTAAGTTTTTGTCTGGTTGA